TTAACGTCTCCTACCCCAACCCTGCAGGAGACGGGACCTCCATTTATTCCTCCCTATCCGAGAAGACTAGAATATCTAACCATTTCTTGATGTTACAGAAAGGTAGCAAATTCTTCTCAATTGTTTTAAGACCTTGAGTGTTGGTCCGGCCGGGGCTCGAACCCTCGACCTCCCGCACAACAGTCCAGCGCACTATCCATTGAGCTAACTGGGCGGCGGTTTGTACTTAAAAATATTCTGAAACAAAGTCGTGAAGTCCGTGTGGCTTGGTGGTAGAGCATCAGAGCGCGAAATCTGATGGATTGACCTTCAATTCCTCATAAGATCTCAATCTCTTTTTCTTTGTCCATCGTTCGAGGCAAGATCATACATTTTCCTCCACAACCGTTTCAATTCATTTTTTTAACCCATTATCAGTTTTAACTCTTCGGACTACTGCTCAATAAGCAATTAGGTGCCCATGTTGCTTCTCCTTGTGTGATGGAATGACAGCGCTTTTAATTTGCTTACTTCTTATCTCGTTTTCTCTTCATGAGAGAACAAAATGCGTTTTAGTTTCTTCTTTGCTGGCCCCTGGTTACCCTTCCTTTGTAAGAAAGTAACAAACACTTATTTATTCACCCAATTTCAAATTGACTAAAAAATATTTCTTTATTCACCGCAGAGATTTCCTACTCTTATGATAAGAATCTTTCAAATGAACTCTTTTCAAGTGTCTGCTGGTCACATTGTAGTTTCTATAATTCAGTATCTGTGAATTTTTTTTTCTCAGGTCACATGCCAGTCCGTCGATCACAATGCCTTTCATTCAGCTTGGTTTTTGATTAGCTGGCTGAGCGTGCAAACAGAATTCGGCGCCAAACCTGTGACGAGGTAGCCGATAAGTGGCTGCAGCTGTTAATCCATATTTATCAGAGGTTGTAGAATTTTCAGCAAACCACGCTGTCTATGATACTAAACTTAGCGTTGCGTTCTAGAAGGATGAAGACACAGGGGCAGTAAAGAAGAGCAACGAAAGCTCTCTTATGTCGCTACAACAGCAGGTGAGCATTGCCTTCGGAAAATATCGCCTTAAGCGAGTCG